GCACCGCCGCGGATTTCCTCAATTTTTGCCTCCGATGAGACCCTTCCCGATTCCCATTCGATGTAATTTTTTCACTACTGTGACCACCGTTCCTTCCTCTACAGGTTGACCAGAGTAAAACACTAAACCGCGACTCGAGCCGGAGGAGCCGCCGCACCTGAGAGCTCCGCCGCCAGTAAGTCTCGACTTTCTGTGTTTTTTCGGCCCACCGAGGGCCTTACGTGTGTTTTCTCGCAGGAACTGGTGCCAGTTTGGCTGAATTTGACTGGAAACGGCCGAAAATAGCCAACCCGAGGCGGATCGCCGCCGTGGGCGGCGGTGTCGTCGCTGGAGCACGGCGGAGCCGCCGTGCCGAAATTTTGAAATTGGCCGAGGAGGCCTTGGGTCTGATTTGAAGTTTTTTGGGGACATGTGCAGGTACCAGAAGTGTGTTTCAGTTTTCGGAGAAAAATTCAGGGAAGGGACTGCCCGTAGGCGCTGTGAAAAATCGGTCTTAGATTCAAATCAAGTAAGGATCTCTCACCTTATTTTCTATCACAGCATTAAAGCTTAATAAATGATAAAATGGTATTTTATGAATTAATAGATATGTATAATTAAGTAAAGTTGTTAATGGAGCCCGAATCTAATATATTTTCGGTCAGTTGCTGTTTTCGTTATTTTATAATTTTAAATACATTATGGTATCTGATTTATTTATTCTAGGATTTCGAATGCATGAATCACTGTTTACTTTATTATGGCTTAATTTTGTGAATCCGATGATATGTCTGTCTTGTTGGATGCTCGTTACTAGTTTAAATATTTATGATTATGTGAGAAACAAAAAACTAAAGAAAAATAGAAAATGTATGTGAATTGATAAATAGATAAGTTGACAGGCTCACTAGATATCCTAGGAGATGGTGAACGGACCGGGCCCATAGAGAACCCTACCGGGAACGTTGTCTCATACCGGATGGGGTATGGAGACTTTAAATGTTTTAGTGCTCATACCGGACGGAGTATGGGGACGGCCCGCTTCACCCTCATACCGGACGGGGGTATTGAGATTTATGGTTTTGGTGCCCATACCGGACGGGGTATGGGGTTGGCCTTGGAATTAAGTTATTAAGGTGAATGATTCACGTGTAGCGGGGACCCCTATGGATCCCCATGGATACTGGTAGGCTGATAAAAGAGGAAATTTATTGCCTGATGATGGAAATATTAAAAGTATGACATGTGTTATGTTACAGAGTGCGTATGATTTCATGATATTATAATGTTGTTGTTTTCATAAGTTGTTTTCATGAATCTTACCGAGGTAAGTTGACAGTAAAGAGTTTTATTATTGATAAATAAACTTGTTATAAATTATGCTCCATTGGTCGTTTTTCTTTTCTACCAACCTTTACTTCTGTGACAGTGAAATAGTGTGACGTCTTTACTGGGCTAGTGTAGCTCATTCCTTACTTAACCATTTCAGATCAGGAGAACTTGGTTCCCGAGCTCGTTCTGCAGTAAGACGGCGAGTAGATGCCTAAAGATTTTATAGTTTTCCTTATAGTATTCATTTATAGTATTTACTTTAGTTAGCTTATTCTTTCATACGTTTAATGCGTTTTAGTTATTATGTAAGGGATGTTAATCATAATCTTTTATTTCGCTTCCGCACTTAGAATTTTTATATATATGTTTCCTTTTAATTTCTGGGGCCGTTACAGTTGGTATCAGAGCTGTGTTCCTCGAACTCGTCTCTTACACAATAATACTTAGAGAAATACCAACCGATGAATCGTTACTCAACCCTTACTTGTGAAATGCAGGTGTAGAGAGATGAGGAGAGGAAGACCCCCACTAAACCGAGCAGCCCAAGATGATTTGCTTCGGGAAGATGTAGACAGAATATTTGAGATGCTAGAAAGGATCATTGCTGCCCAGCAAGGTCGAGAGGAGAGAAGGAAGTTACCTGACCCTCCCCCACTACCACAGGTTGAGCCACCGCTGCCGTGAGAGGATCTCGAGCCACCTTGGTACAAGCCTGCTCCTCCACAGTACCACCCGGCACCACCGCCATAGTATAATCCGGTGCCCCAACCACAATACTACCCGGCATCGCCACGGTATAATCCAGTGCCTCCACTATATCAGCAGGTGCCACCACAGGGCCCCCCAGTCTATCCTCAGCCCGGCCCAGTCCTTCTTCCACGGGACCCAGCTTCTTCCTTAATTGACTCGGGCTATGTAGAGAGGTACAAGAGACTGAACCCTTCCACTTTTGCAGGGGAATCCTCTTTCAAAGATGCCCAGTACTGGTTAACGGAGACAGAGAAGGCTTTCAAAACCTTAGGAGTGGTTCTCGAGCAAAGGGTTACCCTTGCTTCCTACATGCTGGTGGGGGAAGCAGGTCGTTGGTGGGAGCTCAAGCAGACCACCCTGCCTACACCAGTCACTTGGAAGCAGTTCTTAGCAGCCTTTCATGCGGAGTACCTCGCCGAGCACATCCGACATCTAAAGGAGATGGAGTTTGTCCAGCTGGTCCAGGGAAACATGTTGGTGTCGGAATATGCTCGTAAGTTCCTAGAATTGGGCCGATACTCCCCTGAGACATTGATGGATGAGGGCAGGAGGGTTCGAAGGTTCCAATGGGGCCTCCGCCAAGAGATCAAGCAATACTTACTTGTACTAGAGCTCAAGACATACTCAGCCGTTCTAGCAAAGGCGCAGATTGTGGAGAGGAGTTTCAACACCCTTCCTCAGTCAACAGGGAGTCACAGACCCTCTGCTCCACTCTGCAGACCAACACCTACTGCGCCTGTCTAACAAAATAAGAGGACCAGACCGGTGATCCAGGCTCCCCCTCAGGCTCTAGGGGCAGTACGTGGTAAGATCTGTCAGCACTGCGGCAGGGATCACGGGGACCGACCATGCTACCGCCTCAATAACACCTGTCGCATATGTGGTAGTGCCTAGTACTATGCGAGAGAGTGTCCGAGGAACCAGAATTAAGGAAGACCTCCTATTCAGGGCAAGGTTTACAACCTCACACAGTAGGATACCGATGCCGACCCGGACGTAGTACAGGGTATGTACACTATATGTAACCATATTGCTCATGTTTTATTTGACTCTGGTGCATCGCATTCATTTGTTTCACATATTTTTGCATCCAAATTTAATGTATTACCTGATAAACTTAATTCAATTTTATTTGTGTCTACTGCTAGGGGAGAAACACTATTAGGAGAAGTTGTCTACAGAGCTTGTACCGTAGAGATAGCAAATAGAAAACTGAGTGTAGATCTAATAGGGTTAGACACGGGGGATTTTGATGTAATTTTAGGGATGGATTAGCTAGCGGCGTATCATGCCACCATAGATTGCTTTAGCAAGAAGGTTGAATTTAATCCTCCTAATGAGGAGCCATTTACAAATTAATAAAAATCATCTAGTACTTATTCCTTGATGGCAAGTTTTCTTAATTGTCAAGTACCTTAACCTTGCTATTTTCTCTAACTAGGCAAGCTCAAAAAAGAAAATTGTATCCAAGATATTTCAGTAGTCTGAGACTTTCCAGATGTATTTCCAGACGAACTACTCGGACTGCCAGTGGACAGGGAAGTCGAGTTCACTAT